CCCCCGCAGAGCGCAAGAGCGTCGGGATACCGCTTGCGCCGTCCCGCACCCCGACGGTGAAGGCGGTCAGAGACGCGCAGGAAGCGACCAAGCAGGCGGCGGCGCAGAGGGCGGCCGCGCCGCCGGGCGCCGCGATGGCGGGCCTGAGCCTGCAGGGCGCGCAGGCGGCGGCGGGCTCGAGCGGGGGCGGTGCTTTGGCGGCTGCGGCGCCCGGCGGAGAGCAGCCGCAGCAGCAGCAGCAGCAGCAGCAGCAGCAGCAGCCTGTCAAGCGGCGGAAGCTGTCTGACTATCAGCTGGAGCCGGACCTCGCCAGGTGGGCCGTCCACAATGGGGTGGGCCCGCTCGCAGGGGCCGTCAACAGACAGGACGGCACCTCCCCGCGCCCGGGGCACTCTGCGCGCCGCTGCCTGTGAGCTGCCCTCACTCTGCGCTGTGAGGGGAGGGCCCCTGGGCGCTGCGGTTCTTGTAACCGCCACCTCATCCCCCCTCTCTCTCGCCGTCTCCCGTGCGCCGCTGGTCCCCAGGGAGGTGGACGCCGCCCTCGCGGCGGAGCTGTCCGGCGCCGAGGGCCACCGCAGCAGCCTGCACCTGGTGGTGGCAGGCCACGTGGACGCGGGCAAGAGCACGCTGATGGGGCGGCTGCTGCACGACCTGGGGCGGGTCAGCCAGAAGGAGGCGCACAGGAACCTGCGGGAGGCGACGCAGGCGGGGAAGGTGCGCGCGAGCGTTGGCGCGCGCGCGTGTGTGTGTTTGCGTGTGTGTGTGTGTGTGTGTGTGTGTGCAGTGGGTTATTTGTATGGTGTTGTGGTCGGTCGTCCATGTGTCAGGCCCAGCCCAGCCCCCCCCGCCTGGGGCCTGCCCTGCCCGCCCCGCTACCCCGCACCCTGCTCTCCCCACGCCTATGCGCACGCTCGCGCCGCAGGCGTCGTTCTCGTGGGCGTGGGTGCTTGACGAGCGGCCCGAGGAGCGCGCGCGCGGCGTCACGGTGGACGTGGCCATGGCGCGGTTTGCGACGCCGCGGTACAACGTGACGCTGCTTGACGCACCCGGGCACAGGTCGGGGGGGCGGTGGCGGTTGGGGCCGGGGGCGCTGGGGCGGCGCGCGGAGGGGGCCGGAAGGTGGTGGGGGTGCAGCTGCTTGTGAGGAGGGAGGGGCCGGGGCCGCGGCGGGG